ATCGATAATAATCCTATACATATGAGATTAATCATGGCATTGCATTTTATATCAGCGATAAATCCGCATATTAAAATAATGTTAACAGCGACTATGTGCAAATAAAATGATAATTTTATACGCAAAATAATGACAATGTTACATTTAACAACGATAACATTTTAGTGAACTTTTTAAACGTGAATTTTAACAAAGTTCGACAAAAAGCTATACATTTTGACTTTACTTAGTTATACATTAAAATAACATTGTCAATGTCCTAAGTAATTATATAGGCAATAATAAAGCTATTAAGTAACAGAACTAAAGAGATACCCAGTAAAGATTAGGCTTCGTCTTGTAAGACGTTTTATTGGTTGAAGTGTCTAAGTCTGTCCTGATAAGCACATTTTACACGTTTTCAAGTGTTCACTGAGGGTTTGGCTGCTTACAGAATCCGAAAAGAATGCTCGCAACCGTTTATGTGACTTTGTATTTTGACATTTTATCGCCCACAGAATATATTAAAAAAAAAACCAACAACAGCAACAAAACAACCACATACTCAGCTTCCGCCATTTGAGTAAAAGATTTTACCAAATTTTAATCGAGTCAATCATCAAATAAATTGAATCGATAGTATTGTTTAGTTCTATATAAATATACCAGTACTGTCTGTTGTATGTCCATGTAACTACTTCGCAGGGTGTGGATGGATCTTCATGAAAATTGGTACGGAGGTTCATTAGGTCCATGCAGGGATACATACACATTTTCAGTTTTGCATTTTGAGTTTTGTGGTTTTTATGAGCGTTTTTGTAGATCACCAAATTTGATATGCAGGTTCATTAAGTCTATGTTAACATACATACAGATTTACAATTTTGCGGTTTTTATGAGCGTTTTGCGATTTCTTTACCACTACTTCGCCTTCTGTAGATCACCAAATGTGATATGAAGGTTCATTAAGTCTATGTTAAGATATGTACAGATTTTCAGTTTTGCGGTTTTTCATGAGCGTTTTTGCGCTTTTTTACCACTACTTCGCTCCCTGTTGATGAATATTCGTCAAATTTGGCATGAAGGTTTTTGGGTCCATGTGGATATACTTGCAAATTTGCTGTTTCACATTTTGTGTTTCACAGTACTTATGGGCGTTTTGCGTTTTTTTTACAATTAGATATAAGGGAAGCAACTTTTCATGTATTCAGATAACCTTTCATTAATCATGAATTTACATATCTTCCGTCCAGGGTACGGGTACTCCAGCTAGTATAAATTATTCTCTCTAACATAAAGGACTAAATTAAGGACAATATTGTTAGGGCATAAATCTCAAATTCTGCTTTCCCCCTCCCGGTGATTCAGCGGAAAGTCTCACAGTTTACAGAGCTAAAAGTTTGGTTTCGATGCCTGCGGGGAGCGGAGCACAGACGGCTCATTGTGTAGCTTTGTGCTTAAAATGCAAATAAACAATCAAACTCAAATTTCCCTAGCGAGTGTTCACGTGATACTTGCTCCAGGTTTAAAAGGTTTGTTTGCTGTCAGATACTGATGCAAAGCAACACAAGGGTTATGTACGCTAGTTGTCCCTAATTTTGAACTGATTGACTAGAGGGAAGGCAGTTAGTGAACAGCAACCATCGTTAGCTCTTAGTCTTCTCTAATCAGATAGTGAAGTTTGATCATCGTTCTTAAAACAATTACTTTTATTACCGATAATCTGAATTTAATTAGAATTTTTTGTAAATTATGAATGGTCAGTGCTTTTGTTTAGATGTAGTAACACCTTGTAGGATTGTAGGTAGGACGTAATTATACATTCATTAAACGTTAGAACTTAATTCATTAGTTAAATATTAAAGCTTCGTTACGATTTGTTTAGATAGCTTTATTAATAAATATTTTGCTCTTTACTTTAAATAAACTCCTTAAAAATTGATTAATATTGAACTGAAACTAAACATATTTCATGAACATAAGAAACATAATACAAATTGAAATATGAAGTTCGTGAATAAGAAATGTTTAAAGCAAGTATAAATTAGCCAATTACATAAAAAGAATGTGCATATGTATATGATCCATGAACATATAATGCAAATATGTTTTTCAACTTATATGAATATGTTGTTGATGATTGTCCGAATTTACATATATAATAATTTGAATTTTTGTTTGCTCTTTTAACTGAGAATCCGCTTTAACTTACTCGTTAATATTTTGATTTTGAAAATAAGTGTATATTCTGGGGGATAACTACAAATGTGTAGCGTTATGTGCGGTTTATTTAAAAAATAACATTTACACGATACGTCATAGATCTATATATATATGTAATAAATATTAGCACACTTATTCAGACTTTTTTAAGTTACTGCATGAAAAACGGTTTTCCTATGTTTAAAACGTTATTCATACTTCTAGCGAAGTTGAAATTGAGTCATTTTTTAGTCAGTTAAAACGAATAACATGATACGACTTTTACATAAACGATGAAGATGAGAGCTATTAAAATTGTGAAAAAGGTGAAACATGTTCGTTAAGAAGTTTTTAAAATATGATACATTTCCCAGTTCTACAATGTTGAATACATTTCTAAGCATGCTTCTGGTGTATATCAGTAAAATACATTTTAATTACGTTATAAATACTTTGATTGTTAACAAGTGAAAGTGTAACACCTCTCTAGTGACTTACACTTCTCTATGTTTTATTAAACCAAATTATCGAGTTTTTGAAGTACTTTAAATGAAGAAAGATATATACATAACCAAGTAGTTCAAGAGAACAATTCAGTTAAACAACTGATGTCATTTCGTTCAGAGAATTTGTTATTTCATGATTTTTTAAGAGCGTGAGATCTGGATATAGTTTATACAATCAAGATTTTGATGTGATTTGAATGTTTAGGTTATCGTTTTTCTATTAGACGTTTAATACTTCGTGTTCGTATAGCATTTATATTGCATACTACCAATCACGCGAAGAATGTCTGACCTGAACGTAAGTACTAGTAATATATATCGTATATTGCCAAAAGATATTGAAGTTTTGGACTTAACCTCGTGATAGATTATGAACACTTTCGGAGTGATGTAAAATTATGGTTAAGTGCTTGATTTATAATTTCGGGATCTTTTTATTTTTTATCATTTAATGATTTTGCTTTTTTTTTCTTTTCGTTTTAACCTAAAATAGACGTAGTAATTAACTTTCTTCAGTATTCATCTTTCACCGCCCTCTTGTGTGAAGGATGTTTGACACAAATTCAAGTCATTTTATTCATACATTCATTAAATATTAAACATGCTTCATGTTATTTTCCAGTTTCATAACAAATAAATTAAGCGTATTATTTCAATACAGCTTTTTCTAATTTCTAAC